CCTTAAGACACAAATCAACCAAAACCCTAATGTCACCTAGATACTCCAATGTCACCTCAAGTATCCGTGGGCATGATTATACGATATGCATCACACAATCTCAGATTCATCTATTCAACCAACACAAAGAACTTCAAAGAGTGCCCCAAAGTTTCTACCGGAGAGTCAAGACGAAAACGTGTGCCAACCCCTATGCGTAAGTTCACAATGTTACGGAACCCGCAAGTTTATCACCAAAACATACATCAAGTCGATCACGTGAATATCCCATTGTCATCACAGATAAGCACATGCAAGACATACATCAAGTGTTCTCAAATCCATAAAGACTCAATCCGATAACATAACTTCAAAGGGAAAACTCAGTTCATTACAAGAGAATAGAGGGGGAGAAATATCATCGGATCCAACTATAATAGCAAAGCTCGCGATACATCAGGATCGTACCAAGAGAGAGATCAAACGCATAGCTACTGGTACATACCCTCAGCCCCGAGGGTGAACTACTCCCTCCTCGTCATGGAGAGCGCTGGGATGATGAAGATGGCCACCGGTGATGGATTCCCCTTCGGCAGGGTGCCGGAACGAGCTCCCGAGATGTTTTTGGTGGCTACACAGGCTTGCGGCGGCGGAACTCTCGATCTAGGTTATTTTCTGGAGGTTTTAGTATTTATAGGAATTTTTGGCGTAGGTCTCACATCAGGGGGGGGAGGGTCTCCGGGCTGTCCACGGGGCAGGGGGTGGGCGCGCCCGCCACCCATGTGGGCAGCCCGAGACTCTCCTGGCCCAACTCTTTCACTCCAGGGGCTTCTTTTGGTCCACAAAAAATCATCAAAAATTGGCACGTCAATTGGACTCCGTTTAGTATTCCTTTTCTGTAAAACTCAAAAACAAGGAGAAAACAGAAACTGGCACTGGGCTCTAGGTTAATAGGTTAGTCCCAAAAATATATAAAATATCATATAAATGCATATAAAACATCCTAGATGGATAATATAATAGCATGGAACAATCAACAATTATAGATATGTTGGAGACGTATCAGTTCTCGTAACATGCAAAAACAGAACTTTTGGAAAAACGATTATTGGTAAAAACTGAACGTAATTACTCGCTATCCGAACAACCACTAAACATAATAGTATGATAATAACATTTTAATATCATATAAGTAAAACATTCAATATCTTCCGGTTTTATAGAATTCTTTCATATCATACAATAATATTCATTTATTTACAAATATTAATATTCGCAGCGGCATGCATATTATTCACAACATTACATCTATATAAAAAATATTAACAAAATTACGGCGTCATTTATACCTCAGTTCCAATATGGATGTCCTTGCGAATGCAATTAAGCGTCAAAATAGTTCGAATAAATATCTGTCACCTGTATTATATGAACGGAGTCAACCTATTATCACATGAACATCAATATTACATACGGATTTTTCTTTCTGCTATCAAAAGTATGAAAATAGCACTTGCATGTATGTAGACCTACGGTTTCCTAACTATAGACTTAGTAATAAACGTACCACATGAAATAACATGCCACATGCAATGAACAATTGCAATGCAATTTTTTTTTCTTAATTACCGTATTAAGATCTTCTCACATCTCAATACGAATGGACGCAGCTAACATTGGTACAACATATTCAACATACTCTTCTCAAAAAAATAGTATAAATGTTGCATCTGTCATCTGCAAATTTTTCTAACCTCTAAGCACTTACATCGCATAGCTAATGACGAGCTAAAAGACTAACTAATTACCATCGTGCATGCACAAAAAAAATCATATATTGCAAAGCTCATACCTCGTTCTTCCCGTTTGTACTTCACTTTGCACGGTAAATCCTACTCCAGAAACTCCAAATGACTCCTCCAACTGCTGAAATAATGCATAAAACAACATAGAATACACACTTAGGAACTAATTAAACAGAACAAAAATATCATGCATGCAAAGTAAACCAACAAAAATGGATAGATCTTACCTTAATCTACCTTTTCTTCAACTTCACCATCTTCTAAATCCAACTCCAGCCAAAATCACGAATGAAAGTGGCTACCAAGTTTTTGTTTCTGTGTATTCTTGTAGACTTAAAGAGAGCAGAGAGGTAGAGAAGGCTACCAGAGATTTCCGAGAGAGTGTATTAATAGAGAGGACTGCTATATTGTCGGTAGAACGAGTTAGAACTCACCTACCGTGGCCTCGGATTCCAGCATCGTGGTGTCTCATCACACGCAGCAACATCAATGCTCTTGGGTGTGCGGCACGAAATCACACGTACAAATCAGGACGCGTAAGTGTTGTCGCTTCGGCTACATACAGAAGCGCAAATCATGCAGGCAGGCGGGAATACGATTCCAGATTATCGGAACTTGTGGCAGAAAGCAAAAAAAAAGCATTGCCATCGAATTTGGTGCTGTCACCTCTGCTGCAGCAGCAAGTTTCGCAGCATCGGAATGAACGCAGTTTGTCATCGGAATCAGCGTTGTTTGCTAATCTTGGCTTGCAGCAGCAACAGCAGTGCCGCCTGCTGTGGTGGCGGCGTGGCCCACCGGCTGGCCCCACAACCTGCACGGCCTATCGGCCTGCGAGCGACAGCGCCAGAAGGGGCCGCCTTGCGCGGTGGCGGCATGGCCCACCTGGCCCGCCCTGTTCCGTCCGAGCGACATGCACTGTACCAATCGCGTTTTGCTTGGGTGGCCACCTCCTGCCGTGGCGGCAGGGCCCGCCGCCTCCTCGCATGGCGGCAGGTGCCACGTGTTGCCTGTCGCGCCTGCCGCCATGATCAAGGGGGTCTTTTTTGTTAATTTCATCTGCAGTTGGTCTCTTTTGGCAATTCGTTGGCGCCAGGCGGTCTCTTTCCATAAAAAATCGAGCGGAGTATCCTCGTTTGCCAACGGACCTGGGCGTTTGCAGGATGGACGGTCAAATGATTTAACGCAAGCTTTGATTCATTTTGACTATCCGTCCACCACCACCAGGCTAGGCTCCTCGGGAAGCCACTCCACTCCACTCCTGCCACTGCGAGAGGAAACGTCAGGAAGACAAGCAGGACGCCATGCCTTCGTCCTCCTCGTCCTCCCTCGAGCCGGACCACCACCCTGCCCTCCGCAGACAAGGCGACACCGAGGGCGCCGTCTCGTTCCTGCGGACGCAGCACGACGTCGACGCGGTGTGCGAGAAGTACGGCGTCCCCAAGGACCGGTACACCGCGCGCCCCGCCGGCGACCTGCGCGCGAGCTCGCCCCCGCCGCCGGGGTGCGTCTGCCTGTACGCGGAGGCGCTGGAGGCCGGCATGCGCGTCCCGCTGCACGGCTTCTTCTGCGACGTGCTCGCCCATTTCGGCATCGCGCCCACCCAGCTCGCGCCCAACGGGTGGCGCATCTTGGCGGGCTTCGTCATGCTCTGCCACTCCGCCGACGTGCCGCCGTCGCTGCCCGTGTTCCGGCACTTCTTCCTGCTGTCGATCGTCAACCGCAAGCACCGAGGGTGCTACTTCTTCCGATCCAGGGACAACTCCGGCATGCGCTTCAAGGGGATGCCGAGCTGCATCAAGGACTGGAAGAACTCGTTCTTCTTCCTGTCGTCGCCGGAGCCGTGGCCTTTCCCCGTGGAGTGGGGCGAGCCGTCCAAGAGCTCTTTCATGGTGCCGGTACTTGACAGCGAGGAGAAGAAACACGCGGCGAAGCTACTGCGCAGTTACGCCAGCGCCGCCGTTGACATCGATACATGTCTCTCCGACAGCAACCTCGCAGCCGCCATGGCACCTGCTGCATCTGCGCGGCGGCCGCCGCCGCCGGCTTCTTTTACTCGCATTGCTTCCGATTCCAAAGGTAATTGAACACCATCCGTAACCACTCCGATTCCCCTGTTTTTAATCGAGCTCTGATGTTGCTACCTATCGTGTTCGTGTGCTAGGCATGGATCCCTCTGTCTACGAGATGATGAAGCATATGCTGGCGGAGACGGCGGCCGCTCAGGCGTCGGCGTCGGCAAAGAAGGTGAAAGCCGAGGCGGGCAGCCACGCACCAGGGTCGCGGCCGTTGTGCGTAAAGAAGAGGAATCTGGAGGAAGTCAACAGCGAGGAGGGCCCGCCTCGTTCCCTACTGAACACGCCGCTGTCCGGCATGCGCTCGCCACCGCCGGGATTCCCCATCAGCCACGACGGAGATGGCACGGGAGCTGCTGCAGGTATGACATGGTAGCAAATGCGCAGTATGACATGGTATGACGGAGATGTCGCGCCACCGCAGCAGCGCGCGTTTGCATCGACCGAGCCGTCCGATGTAGTCGCGGCGAGCTATGTTGCGATTCTCCAGGTATGACATGGTAGCAAATGCGGTGTCAAGTTCTTCACTGGTGGGCGCATGTCCGGAGTCCGATCGATCATGGTAATTTGTGTGCAGGCGGCGAACTACGTGTCGTCGTCCTTGGGCTACGCGCTGGATCTGGAAGATAAGCTGGCGGCGCGGGACGCGGAGGTCGCGGCGCTAGAGAAGCAGCTGGAGGAGACGAAGGCCGAGCTCGCCGCGGCGAGAGCGGAGCGGGACAGTGCGAGAGGGGCGCGCGCGGCGGCTCGCGGAGCACGCGCTGGAGCGCTGGAAGAGTGGTAGCAGAGCGGCACAAAGAAAATGGACTATGTACTTGTCAGTTCCTCACCATATGCTACATTGAACTGTTAAAATCGCGACCCAAGTTTCTTAGTTTCGTCAAGTCTTATTGGTTGAATTTCAGCCTTGAGAAATGGTCATTCACCTTGACGAACTTTCTTCAGATCAAAGTCTTGCATACCTGAACGAGGGAGTAGAAGCATACATAATCTCTGAAACGTGAAACCTGAATTCTGCCCAAATATTGCGTTACGAGAGCCATTCCTCGGTGTTGCCTCGCGCACGGTAGAAAATCTGGTTTCTCCCCTGAGACGAAAGTGCTGGTACATTACTTCCAGGGTGAAGAACGAGCAGGGGATCACATCACATTGCCGCAATCTCGGCCAGGAAGGCGGCGGCGTGCTCCGGCCTGACGCAGAGCGACTGCACGTTGACCCCGTCCTTGCCCTTCCACGGCGGGCACACGATGCACTCCGGCACCACCATCCGGTCCTCGTGCCACATCACCCGCGCCGGCGTGCCGCCGCCGAAGTCGGCCGCGTCGAACCCGATGCGCCGCCAGCTCGACACGGCCAGCCTGTTGTACAAGTCTCCCCCGGTCTCCGCGCCGCCGCCGGCCTCGGCCTCCAGCAGAGTCTCCTTGCCGCGCCTGATGAGCCGCACCACGTCCCTGATGTCGCCGTCGGCCACCTGGGCGCGCGTCGCTCGCACCGACTTCATGATGGTGCAGTTGCCGTAGTAGCCGTCCTGCGCGCCGAAGAGCTCGCGCACGTTGTTGGGGAAGACGAGCGGCGCGGGGGCGTCGGGATCCTGGACGGCCGCGCGGGTCCGGCACCGCCACAGCACCGCCGCGACGACTTCGAACAGCGTGCAGGCGCACTGGGCCTTGACGCGGCCGATGAGGCTCGACGGGACGGTGATGTCGAGGAAGGCGCCCTGGCCCTCCTTCTCCTTGGGCTTCATCAAGGAGCGCCTCTCCGCCGTGGCCGTGGGCGGAGGGAGATCCCGGACCGCGGCGGCCGGCCTGACCGGAACGACGGACGGCCGCGGCATCCCGCGGGCGAGCTCGCCGACGGCCTGCAGGCAGGGGCGGAGCCAGGATTTAAGCATAGGGGGGGCCAAACGGTGATGAAGCCAAAAAATATTTTGTGCCTCACATACTACCCAATATTTTATATTTAAGTATGATACACATTTAACTTTGCCTAGGCACACAATTTTTGTTTGTGGCTGGAGCGTGTGCAGGTATAGGTAATATTGGTCAATAATTCCAAATACGCGCCACGAAGAAGAAGTTTGATACTCCGAAATATGACATGAAATGCCATGCTACAAAACATTTTCATATGAATATTTAAGATATATTGAACAAAAATAATCATGTATTATCAAATGGTTGGCTTTTAGTTTGCATTTATATAGGTTTGAATGGCAAATCATTACTGGCTGTATTAGGAAATTTTATTGCTTGATTAGCAAAAAATGATCAACGTTGCCATATACCCTAGTGCAGCAACCCATCACAAATCACACAGCCAAAATAACTAAAATGTGATGTAGAAATTCAACATGATACAAGATGAGAATTGAGAGAGATTAGTAGATGATGTGATGTGTTAACCTTGGCTAGTTCGATGGCTGCAACCTGAAGAATTGGTGAGTGAAGTAGCCTGCGTCGCCGTATGAATTAGTAGATTTAAGAAGGAAGACCCGAGGCAAGGAGATTAAGGACACGGCAAAGGCATAGGATGGCAGCGGCGCATCCCATGCACGAGATAATCACGGAGATAATGCCTAGCGCCAGGAGATTTAGTGGAGGCCGGCTCGGCATGGACTTAAAAAACGACTAATTAGTGGGCTCGTACGTGGGCCTTCTTTACTTTCTCAAGAGTCCACGTAATTAGCTGGTGCATGTTGCAAAATCTGGACTAATTAATGGGCTTGTACGTCGGGGAAGCAGGCCATTCTGCCACTAATAGGGGGGGCCAAGTACGTTGTATGGTATCGCTAATGATCGCTGCCTACGGTGCACGCTCGATCATTAGGGGGGGCCAGGCCCCTGCTCGCCCCCCCTTGGCTCCGCCACTGCCTGCAGGAACTGCCCCGTCCCGGTGCCGTCGGCCAGGACATGGTTCCACGTGACCCCGACGACGAAGCCGCCGCAGGAGAACTCCGTGACCTGCATCTGCAGCAGCGGGTCGGTGCGCCGGCAGAAAGGAGCGGCGTAGCCGACGGCGAGATCCGCGAGCAGCGCCGGGGTGATCTCCTCCAGATCCAGGGCACAGCTCGCGGACGCCCCCACGAACGGCACGCCCTCGTTGGTGCATGCGATGCGGTGTTCGGCACCGGCGAGGCGGCCGGACACAGGGCGGTAGTGGACGAGCGCTCGCGACAGCGCCCGCTTTATGGTCTCAACGGGATTGTCGATCGGATGGTCGAACATGAGGAGCGATGTGACCGCGAAAGGGGGGACGCGCTGGTCGAAAGACGAGAGGTGCACGTCGCCGGCTGGCGCCCGGGTTTCGGCGGGGTACACGACCACCGGCGAGGACTTGCCCACCACAACGCTCATTGCTATGGATCTCCCAACCGCTGCTACAAGGAGTCAGTTTTTTTCGAGGGAGCAGGGGTCAGGTTGAAAAATAAATCGTTACGATGGCTTAAGAGCAACTCCAACGGCCGACACGGCGATTTTATTCGCTTTTTATCCGTTTGGCTCGGACAGGCGAATATGAACGTCCGCTTCCGCATTTAGGTCTGCGCATACGCCCAACGCTGGCCCGACCCATTTTGACGGCGCGAGAAAAAAAGGAATAGAAGCATTTCTAAAATAAAAACAATATTAATTAAATATTAGAGCCGACCACGAAGGGCGGCAAGAGCCGCGCCGCCTCGTAGTTTAGTTTGTTTTTAATTTTCATTAATGCCGTGGCGGCGCTCCTCGGCAAGCCGCTGCTGGCGCCACTGTTCGAGGTATGCCGCCTCCTGTGCCGGCGTCGTCCCCATCCAAACCGGCGGCGCGCTGACCCACTCGCGCACTACTCCCGTCCAGGAGTAGCGCTCGATGGGGGACGGCTCCGGCTCCGGCTCGGTTTTGACAGGGGACGGCGGGGCCACCGGCGGCAGGACGCAGTCGCCCCCCGCGGAGAGGGCCATGGCCGCCTCGTACGCCGTCTCCTCTTCCTCGTTCGCCGCCATCTGCGCCGCTCGTCCACCTCGCTCTATCGGAAGACCGCCGCAACGACCGCCTGGTAGGCGACCTCCGCCTCCTGGTCCTCCTCGCGGACGACGAGCGGGGGTGGCGACACACTGCGGTCGACTTCGCGAACGCCGCGTCGCCTCGCCTTCCTCGTGCTCGAAGGCGAACCATCGAGTCCCGTTGAGCGAGTCAGATGCGTAGGCAGGGTCGCGGCGCTGCTCCGCCGTCAGGAGCGCCCGCCGGCGTCGTACCTCCTTCGCGGGCGACCTAGCCTACCGTGGCGCCATCGGCACTGGGTCCTCTCCGGATACAGGTGTCAGTCGTACGGCAGGGTGGCGTCGAGGGACGGGAGAGGCACGCGGTGCTGCCAGTGTCACTCTGCCTGGTGCACTGCCACAGTGATGCGCTGCCTCGGTGATACGTCCATTTTGCATCATGTTTACCTACTGTTATTTATATTATTTTTATGCATACTAATGCTTTTTGGAGTAATTCTAATGCCTTTTCTCTCATAATATGCAAGGTTCACACAAAGAGGTAGAATTCCGGCAGCTGGAAATCTGGACCTGAAAAAGCTACGTCAGGCCACGTATTCTGCACAACTCCAAATGAACTGAAACTTCACGAGGAATTTTTATGGAATAAATAAAAAATAATGGAGCAAATAACTACCGGAGGGGGCCACCTGGTGAGCACAAGACACCAGTGCGTGCCAGGGACCCCAAGCAGGCCCTGATGGGTTATGCTCAGTGATGACCCACAGGTATAGGGGATCTATCGTAGTCCTTTCGATAAGTAAGAATGTCGAACCCGACGAGGAGTAGAAGGAAATGACAAGCGGTTTTTAATAAGGTTTTCTCTGCAAGCACTGCAATTGTAGGCGACACATAGTTTTGTGATAAGATAAATTGTAACGGGTAACAAGCAATGAAAGTAAATAAAGTGCAGCAAGGTGGCCCAATCATTTTTGTAGCAAAGGACAAGCCTAGACAATTTTTTATAATGAGAAAAGAGCTCCCGAGGAGACATAGGAATTATCGTCAAGCTAGTTTTCATCACGCTCATATGATTCGCGTTCGGTACTTTGATAATTTGATATGTGGGTGGACCGGTGTTTGGGTACTGCCCTTACTTGGACAAGCATCCCACTTATGATTAACCCCTATTGCAAGCATCCGCAACTACAAAAGAAGTACTAAGGTAAACCTAACCACATCATTAGACATATGGATCCAAATCAGCCCCTTACGAAGCAATGCATAAACTAGGGTTTAAGCTTCTGTCACTCTAGCAACCCATCATCTACTTATTACTTTCCAATGCCTTCCTCTAGGCACAAATAATGGTGAAGTGTCATGTAGTCGACGTTCACATAACATCACTAGAGGAGAGACAACATACATCTCATCAAAATATCGAACGAATACCAAATTCACATGACTACTAATAGCAAGACTTCACCCATGTCCTCAGAAACAAACATAACTACTCACAAAGCATATTCATGTTCATAATCAGAGGAGTATGAATAAGCATTAAGGAGCTGAACATATGATCTTCCATCAAGTAAACCAATTAGCATCAACTACAAGGAGTAATTAGCACTACTAGCAACCCACAAGTACCAATTTGTGGTTTGGATACAAGATTGGATACAAGAAATGAACTAGGGTTTTGAGAGGAGATGGTGTTGGTGAAGATGTTGATGGAGATTGACCCCCTCTCGATGAGAGGATCATTGGTGATGATGATGGTGATGATTTCCCCCTCCCGGAGGGAAGTTTCCCCGACAGAAAAGCTCCGCCAGAGCCCTAGATTGGTTCCACCAAGGTTCCGCCTCGTGGCGGCGGAGTTTCATCCCGTAAGCTTGCCTCTGATTTTTTTTCCAGGGTAAAAGCCTTCATATAGCAGAAGATGGGCACCAAAGGGCCAACAGGGGGCCCAGGAGCTAGGGGGCGCGCCCAGTAGGGGTGGGCACGCCCCCCACCCTCCTGGCCAGGGTGTGGGCCCCCTCTTGTGTTTTCTTCGCTCAATAATTTTTATTAATTCCAAAAATAACTTCCGTGGAGTTTCAGGATTTTTGGAGCTGTGTAGAATAGGTTTCCAATATTTGCTCCTTTTCCAGCCAGAATTCCAACTGCCGGCATCCCCCCTCTTCATGGTAAACCTTGTAAAATAAGAGAGAATAGCCATAAGTATTGAGATATAATGTGTAATAACAGCCCATAATGCAATAAATATTGATATAAAAGCATGATGCAAAATGGACGTATCAACTCCCCCAAGCTTAGACCTCGCTTGTCCTCAAGCGGAAGCCGAAATCGAAAAATATGTCCACATGTTTAGAGCTAGAGGTGTCGATAAAAATAAAATACGAACATGAGGGCATCATGATCATTCTTATAACAACAACATATATGGATTTTTTTCATATGGTTTCTTATGCTCAAGTAGCAATCAATTCACAATGTCAAGTATGGTTTAGAAACTTCATTGGGAACTAACAAACTATAATCTCAATCATTGAAGCAATTGCAATTTATCATAACATTAGAAAGAGTCAAGAATAGAGCTTTTCAGCAAGTCCACATACTCAACCATCATATAGTCTTCTACAATTGCTAACACTCACGCAATACTTGTGGTTATGGAGTTTCAACCGGACACTAAGAAAGATAGGGGCTTATTGTGTTGCCTCCCAACGTATTCACCTTTAGGTGCTATTAACAATAATAGTTCATGCTAACTTACATCCAATTGTATATATATATATATATATATATATATATATATATATATATATATATATCAAGATCTTTCAAACACGAGGAGCTTGCCAAAGGATAAAATGAAAAAGGGAAAGGTGAAGATCACCTTGACTCAAGCATAAAGTAAAAACATAAAGTAAAAGATAGGCCCTTCGCAGAGGTAAGCAGAGGTTGTCATGTGCGTTTAGGGTTGGATGCACAAAATCTTAATGCAAAAGAACGTCACTTTATATTGCCACTTGTATATGGACCTTTATTATGCAGTCCGTCGCTTTTATTGCTTCCATAACAAGATCGTATAAAGCTTATTTTCTTCACACTAATAAGTTATACATACTTAGAGAGCAATTTTTATTGCTTGCAACATGACAACTTACTTGAAGGATCTTACTCAATCCATAGGTAGGTATGGTGGACTCTCATGGCAAGAACTGGGTTTAAGGATATTTGGAAGCACAAGTAGTATCTCTACTTGGTGCAAGGAATTTGGCTAGCATGACGGGGAAAGGCAAGCTCAACATGTTGGGAAGATCAATGACAATATACTTTAACTGAGATGTGAGAAAACATAAACTATTACGTTGTCTTCCTTGGCCAATATCAACTCTTTTAGCATGTCATACTTAATGAGTGATTCACAATCATAAAAGATGTCCAAGATAGTATATTTGTATGTGAAAACCTCTCTTTCCTTATTACTTCCTATTAATTGCAACGATGACCAAAACTATGTTTGTCAACTCTCAACAACTTTTATGTCTCATACTTTTCATATGTGAAGTTATTACTATCCATAAGATCAATTTGAACTCTTTTATTCCTTTTATTCTTTCTACTTTCTCAAGATCATAGCAAGATAGAAAAGCCCTTGACTCAACACTAATCTTTATTATAGATAGCTCACAGACTCAATTACATAAAGAGATCTCAAAGAAAAACTCAAAACTACTTGATATCAAAACTTGAATCTACTAGATCAAGATATTACTAAAAGGATCGAACTAAGTAAAACGGTAAAGATAGGAGTGTGATGGTGATACGATACCGGGGAACCTCCCCCAAGCTTGGCAGTTGCCAAGGGGAGTGCCCATACCCATGTAATTATGTCCTCGGTGGTGGTGAAGTAGGAGTTGTTAATGATGCAGGCTTGTCGTCCGTCTTCCAAGGCATAGGCTCACCATCATAGAAGGATGATCGAGTCTCCGAAATCCTCAAATCTGCAGCCAAACTCATCCTCTTGAATCTATATTCATACTCACAGTTTTGGTTTTGCAGGTCATAGATCTGGGCTTGGAGGTGCTCGATTTTCTCTTGAAGCTTGAAGATGGTATCCCCAATGATCTTGGCATCTAGCTTGTGGTTGTTGGTGAACTCCGTGATCATCATCTGGTTGGCGTTGAGTCCATGCTCCACCATCCCTTGGCACTTGAAAACTTGTTGCTCCATGGCTTCGAGCTTTGTCTCCACGCTTCCGGTACGCCTTGGTCCCTCCACATCGTGGATGTGCAGCACCCCCTCATGCATCTCAATGGTTTGAGGGTGTTGCAGCACCTCCGCGAGATAGGGGTTGATAACCCTCTCGAAAAACTTGTCCTTGGGAGCGCT